TCATCATCATCATCATCATCATCATCATCATCATCTTCATCATCATCTTCATCATCATCATCATCATCATCATCATCATCATCATCATCATCTTCATCATCATCTTCATCATCATCATCATCATCATCATCATCATCATCATCATCATCTTCATCATCATCATCATCACCATCATCATCATCATCATCTGATGAAGAAAAGTGCCTTGAAAAAAGATAGGAGGGATAGAAATAATAGATCTTGAGACAATTGTCTAAGGTTCGCCGTCTTTGGCTTTGTCATAAACATAACGGAATAGTAGTTGTAGCAACATGAGCGTTCAATAAGAACATCGCAGCTGACGTTTAATAGGGAATAACGTTGACAAAAAGTTCAACTTTTCTGAGTATTCAGTAGAGGGAAAAAGAAGGTCTCATTTATTTGGAATTGTACCTAAATGAAGTACCTTCACTGAGTATTTTTTCAACTTTTAGATTTTAAATTATGACAGAGTACTTTTCGACGCACACAACATACCGATTACTATTTTGCCGTTTGCGTCTTGACCGACGATGATAAAGCGATGTCCATGATGTAGCTTGGCCTTGGAGGTAGACTTAGAGGAGGAAGATTGCCCAAGTACTACTTCCCTTCCTTCTAATTTTGGCTTCCTAGATAGTATTATGTTCCAAAGGAAGGGCATCGTCAGCGCATTTGGAATCAAAGAAGGTCTAAGGGTTTCTGCCTATTTCTTTTTTTTTCTCTGCTATATCTCATGAGTCAACGGCGACATTCCTATTTCGAAGGTGCTCTACATGTTTGTATTTTATACTGACTTAGGGTATTTTCAGTTTCATATTTGATAGAAATTTTGAACTTTGCCCGGGCGGATACCACAGGTTCAGACACTGCAGTAAACAGAATGCAAAATTTTGGGCTATGTACATTTTAACAGATGACCAATAATATTTGACATAGAAAATTTAGGTTGATTTGAAAGGTCAAGATCGAGATAAGTCAAATCGTGCAAATTGTGGCAAAATGGCCCCAAAGTTGAAAAAAAAGATGCTTGAGGTATGCAAAATCTTTAAAGGAACCGAAACAGTCTTTTTTTCTTTCTACTGAAAAATGTTGCTTCCCGTGCTTAGAACAATTGAACAGTCGCCGTCCATCAGGTGTAAAACAGTTAACCTGGATAGTTTCGCTGGCAGGCCAAGACTGAACCAAATGATTTCGATTCTCAATATGCACTCAATATTAGTCTTCGTCTCCATCTTTTCTCCGTCAACGTCTATTTTTGGATCTCCAAGAGCGAATATTAATTATAATGGACTAGGGTAAGGAAATCAGCCCCTGATTGGAACGATGGTTTCAATGAAAGTGGTATCGAATAAGCACACCATAACCGGTTATAAAAAGAAGCATTTTAGTTTTTGTTCACACGGACCTAAAGACTTAAAAAAATACACCCCCCAAAAAAATTTACTTTGCGTCAGACTAAAAGTACAAAATGAAATTCCTTGTCTCTCTCACTCTCTTTCTCTCTCTATTTTTCTCTCTATTTCTCTCTCTCTCTTTCTCTCTATCTCTCTCTCTTTCTCTTTCTTTCTCTCTCTCTCTCTCTCTCTCTCTCTCTCTCTCTCTGTCTCTCTCTCTCTCTCTCTCTCTCTCTCTCTCTGTGCGTGTGTGCGTGTGTTTAATATTTGTATCAATTGACGTACTTCAGAAAGGACGAAAAGAACCCTTTATACTCTGTGAATGGGAGAAGTCTTATAAAAAACCCAGATACATTTAATTTACTATTATTTATCGGTACTCATCTATAAAACGAAATGAGACTCGAAGCCAATAGAATCCATTTTATTTTATTTTTGCTAAAGACGCAAATTTCCACTTCCCGGCTGAGGAATCTCACCACAATAACTTTGGTTGGATCTTCTGAAGCCACCCAGTTCGCCAACACTCACACACTACGGGAGACAAATGCGATCTGAATGCGGCGCAGTGGATTCAACGTTTCCACCATTACTTGATTGGAACAATTTCTTTTCTTTCTCCCCTTCCATCAATCTCTGGGCAGACTGTTGTGGGGTGTTCTTTTTCACAGACGCACCGTTATCTCAGTTGATAGCGTGATTAACCACAATATCGATGACCGTGGTTAGAGTCCATTACCAGGCGTTCTTGGCCCATGATTTGGGGTGTTTTTTTAATGAGATTTCATGACAGTCTCCCTCTTTCGCTCAGTCCCATTGGTACATACGGAAAGACTGGACTACTTTGAGGTTATTGCTTTGATCTCAGTTCTTTGATCTTTGGCAACCACAGCGGAGCCAACAAAAATTGAAACAGCACGAATCAATGTCAGATAGTATAGTAATGGAACTAAACAGGACTTTCAAGTATAAAGGCTGGAAACCAAATAATACCAAAGTGATCTGATAATACTAAGGCCCTAACCCTAACCCCGCCCCCATGTCTACCTCAAACCTTAAACCGAACTTTTCCTGGGACACGATTTTGTTCCCCTGATGGGATTCGAACTGATGACTTTATGGTTATGAGTCTGAGAACGTAATTACTAGTCCACCAACGCTGGATATTAAAGCCTAATGTTAGCCCTTTAATGGCCACACCTTCAAAAGCAAGGGGCGTTATTTATATTTCATTCAGGTGTTTTATCCCCCCGTCTGACGGGCTTCGACCATGGTTGACAGAGCCAACCCGGGCTAAGAGGGATACAGCATCCCACAGAAAGACCGAGATTCTCCGTAAAGAATCTGCCCTGAACTCGGGTCTCCTACGTGTGACATCAAAGCGTCAAATATCTGGTGCCCTCTGCGGATAGGATTGAATCGGGTCGAGTCGGGTCGGGTCGATTGCCCGAGTGATCGCCTGAAAATAAACCTGTTTGGATTTGAGACAACGAGTCGGGCGATCGTTTTGTACCACGATAGCCCCTTTGCGCCCTCAATCTGGCGAGCAAACCGTTCCGCACAGGCGCCTGTAAGCGCGTTGAACCCGTTATAATTCAATACTCACATAGAAACAAAAGGTTATTTAAGAAGCGGGACTTTTATACTATTATCATTATAGTTTTTTTATTATCAAGTTTATTATTATTAATTTCATTATTATAATAATAGTTATTTAGTTGTAGTAGTAGTAGTAGTAGTAGTAGTAGTAGTAGTAGTAGTAGTAGTAGTAGTAGCAGAGGCAGCAGCAGCAGTTACGTAGCAGTATGACTTTATCAAATAAAAGAACTCACCTGCATGTACTTGACGAACTTGCACATGACGTTTCCCGCCAACCATTGTACCGTGACGGTCCAGGCAGCCTCACCGGCGATACAGAAGAACGTCACGAGCAGATCGGCCAATGCCAGGTTGACGATGAGCGTGTTGATGGTGCTTTTCCGGCGTCGCAGACGTCTCATCTGCACTATAGTCGCCATATTGCCAACGAACGAAATGCCGAACATAATTCCGAAAACGATCGTCTTTATTAGACTCGTGGTTGTGAAGGTTGGCGCGTTTTCAAACGTCACATTAGAAGGGTGTGTCGTGTTTAGGAACTGGAACTCGAAGGATGAGTTGTTGGAGATCATGTTTGGAGCCGTCGTGTTGAGGAGAAGTGACGAGATATTGTCGGAAGCTAAAATGAAATCGTGATGAGCAGACCTTGGAGAATAGACGTCATGACGTTTTCTGTGGACTGATGAGTTCTGAGCGGAGAAATTGTAGGGTATTGGCAGTTGCAAAGGCCCAGAACTTGAAGCCAGAAAAGCCTGATTTGCGCGTTGCAGTATGCTCCCATCGCTGTCTGTTCCGTCCATGGGGCTGAATCTTGTAACGATTATGAATCCTCAATCATGGTTAAGATACTCCTGAATTTGAGCACAAATCCAACGTCCAAATGTTAAAAGAGTTGATCATTTACTGGGAATACAGCTATAATAATATGTTAATAATATTTATACAGTTTCCCGTTACACCATGTTTTAGTTGATCTCATTTAAATAACACGGTTCACGGCATATTATTAGTATTTATGGTTGTCTTTTAGTGTATCTCAAGTCACAACAGTTTTTTGAAAGACGATTGATTATTCAACTTGGTTATTGCAGTCTCCTTCAAATATACAAAGACCTAAAAAGGCTGACGCCATCAAAGACGATTATATTCAATAAGTAAAATTCAATAACTTTAACAGATTGCTTTATGTGCATAAAGTATAAATGTATTAACCGTCATTCTTTGTATTTCTGTTTGAGTGCGTGTGTACGTGTATGTATGTGTGTGTTTGTGTGTGTCTATGTGCGTGTGTGTGAGAGGGTGTGAGTGTGTATGTGTGTGTGTGTGTGTGCGTGTGTGTGTGTGTGTGTGTGTGTGTGTGTGTGAGTGTGTGAATGACAGTGTGTAAGTGTGTGATTGTGCGTGTGTGTGTTTGTGCGTGTGTGTGTGTGTGTGTATGTGTGTGTGTGTGTGTGTGTGTGTGTGTGTGTGTGTGTGTGTGTCTGTCTGTCTGTCTGTATGTGTGTGCGAGGAATTAAACCTAAACACAAATAATTACTCATTTAAAAAACAACAACAACAAACAAACCAAGCAACGAACAATAACAGTTTCCTTTTCGTGATTCCCCTTACATAAACAGAGTATTTACGAGTAGAATCAAGAAAATAGAATAATAACAATATGTTTTCCGATGTTTTTTTGTTATTTTGAGTGTTTCTCTTAATCCCCTAAGGCACACAATGAATTATATCGTACAAGATCATATAACAACACAATAAGAGCATTACTTTTAGAATTTATACAGCTTAATCGCTCGTGGTTTTTTTTTATATTTATTTATTTATTTTTACCTTTAAAATATCGTAAACATATGTCACAGACGAACTTTCAGGAGTTAATGATTCCACATGTTTCAAGAGAGTCTAGCCTGTTGTGACGTCATTGCAACACTTTTTTATTATTGCATGAATGTGAGATACCTGCGGAAAAGAAGTGAGAAGGTTATTATGGTAAAAGTGATGATAATAGTAATGATAAAAACATTTAAAAACAGTAACAACAGAAAATATATAATAATGATGATTAGTAAACATAGATTATGATCATGATAATGATAATGTTGATCATCATCATCATCATCATCATCATCATCATCATCATCATCATCATCATCATCTTCATCCCACTGACATTCACAGTAAACAATAATACATTATTGTATTTGTTACAATAGTCCGGAGCTAACGATCATCGTCAATGAATATTTGTTTATATATATTTGTTTGAGTGATAGGGTATTTTGTTTTACGGCATGCTATCCTGCTTGGGCCCTCGATATCCCCCCCCCCCTCCACCCACCACTTCCCTCCAGTTTGGTCTCCCTACACACACACACACACACATACACACACACACACACACACACACACACACACACACACACACATACACAGACCGAAAAAACCAGTTAAGCTATTCAAGAAGCAGGACCAGCAATTAAACAGCAATCTGTGATAAGACTGCCATAATAATAATAGTATGGTAAAAATATTTTTTCCTGTAATGCTATAGGAGAAAGGGAAGTGTTGATAAAATATCCCGCTGTTGGTCAATGTGAACCAGAATAAGTACACAATGGGAGTCTGGAAAAACGTATTGATCAGTTTCATTTTTGAAGGAAATCCGCCCTAGATTGACTTTCCCTGAGTGGCAGGAAATCAATTCAATCCGCTAAAGCTCTTTTGTTGGGTGTTTGCGTCTACCAAACATCGCTGAGGGGACCTCACGACCTACTGTTGCGGGTGTTTCAATAAGTAAAACTACGCCAGAGTGAAAATTTCATTATTCTTAGTCGGATTTAAAGAACTAAAATGATAATAAGTGTTTTCAGAACCATAGGGCTCTATCTGGGTTACTGTTATGTTGGAGATAGATTTTTGAAAATAGGAATAGAAACCTTTAAGTTATAGGAAGGTGAGTATTTTCGTACTGAACCTGTGACGTATAGTGTGCACGCAGTTTTTTTCTTTTTAAAAATATTTTAAAAAAATTTCCATATGCACTCTTTAACGCGTTTTATATATTTGTATTTTTTGCTACGGTCGTAATTTCATGATCTGAAAAGATCAGTGTCATGCATGTATTTCGGTTCCAAATGCAGTAACGCCTGTTTTGAACATTTCGCGATCAACTTGATTTCTCCGATTTCTTTTTAAAAAATCGTGGAAATCGTGATTTCAAGCAAAGGCGAAAATAACCAGTAATAAAGTAAAACACTTCATCATCGGCATGCTCTTCCAAATTTCCGGGTGAAAGAAATAAAAAAGAACTGCTTTATTCTTTCAAAAATAGTACCAGCATTATGTAAATTATGTTCTTGAATTTTGTCAGTATTTAGAATTTGGAGTTTGAAAAAAAAAATCACGAGAAATTGATACTAATACCATAGACTAAAAACATCGATAATTTGGTTCCATAGTTTGGAAGAGGGTACGTTAATTTTGAAGAGCAGGCCGACTGGTTAGTGTATAAAACAGATTGATTATTATGTTTGCAGAAGGCAGATCACTGTGAAAGACGTCATTCATTTGAATCATGTGATTAGTAAGATTTTTTCAACCATCGTTTTATGAGTTCTTTATAAGTTTTCCTTTTAAATACGCACTTTTTTACCAGCATCGACGCAATTATGGCATTAAGAAGGCGGAATTTGAGCTCGCCTGTAAGGTCAAAATCGGGCTTTCAACTAATACAGGGTGCCCATTTGGGGGATCGGGTCGGGTCGGTTTGTTAGCTAGATTGAGGGGGGAAAGCGGCTATCGTGGCACAAGCCGATCGCGCCCGACTCGTCTCCTCAAAAACAAATGCGTGTGTTTTCTGGCGACGAGTGGGGCGATCACCCCCCCCCCCCCCACTCAACCCGACCCGACCTGATCCCATCCGCAATGGACACCTCGTATAAGGATCGAACTTGAGTATCCTGAGTGCGACGGTGAAAAAAAAAACTACTACGCAACCGACATCAGTATTCTCTAAGTAAGACTTGAGTCTATGAGCACAGTTATACCAAGTCTTGGGTCAATTATATAACCGTCTAGGCAGAATTTTCATGCTCAGTATGCTATAGAAAGTAAGAACAGTTTACAATAAATAAATTGTTCGGCCATTCCTAACTCAAACAACATCTTCTGCTATCAAAATATCATTTTGAATTTTTTTACTTGCCGATTCCAAGGACGCCTGTGTGAGGTCGGAGATCAGATACAGCGACAATAGCTAGTAATACAGTCGCCTCAAGAATGTTATATTCCATGGAATAGAGGAGGAAAGAGAAGAAGATTACATCGAAATGAGGACGAAGGTAACCTGTTTCTTAAACAGAATAGTGTTCTGTAAAGACTTGATGGAGGAAGACGTCATTTACACACACACACCTGTTGGATGCACAAGGCAGAAACACCACAAGATCTGAAATAATTCGCACAGTCTGTGGACAATCTGGATGTCCTCAAGGTGAAAAAGACGTTCGCAAAGCAGACATCCAATAACTTAACTGGGAAACAGCGCCAAGAGCTGAACAAACTCTGAGACAAAGACCCGGGAGACTGTTATAAAAGTGGAAAACCTGTTGTAGTTCCATCAGCCCAACTGGAGTCCTCGGATCCACTCTTTACCACCCACCGACACATTCGTAACACAGGGAGATCAGCGCAAGCACGCGGAAAAACAACAACGAGAGCTCAACGAGGCCAGTCTGTTGCGAGATTGGAGTTCTGCCGGCCCTTTCAGAACAAAAGTCTAAACAAAAGTATCAAAAGCCAGGTATCTACACTAACTACTCAAGTGAAAAAGCCTACAAAGACAAGCTACTTTCATGGTATGTCAATGGCAATGATTATTTCTCAGTGAAGTAAAAGATAGGTTTGTTGATCATTCAGTGCAGAACATAGAGGAAGAAGTGCGTCGCAAGTATAATTTATTCTCTCTTACAATTCCATTTCAAAAAACAGCTGAGTAATTTTATATCACTAACCTCTCGCCGTATTGGAATAGAATAGCAATAGCCTTGGCAAAAACAACATAGCCTTCTATTAATAACAATCTTTTTCAGTGGAAAATACTAAATTAACCTTTATATGAGAGGTGTAACTCTCATGAATTTAAAGATGAATTTCATTTTTTTTTTGGCGTCCAAATGTTGCCTATCAAAGGAAAATGTTAT